ACCCGGGGCCTTGGTGTCATCAGCACCGCACTCTCCCGAGTGAGCCACGGGCCGGCCCCAAAGACAGTTTCAAAGTTGGAACTCTTGTCACCTGCACCTTTGTTAAGGTGCATTTTCTGCACAAATGGAGTCTGGAAGGGAAAGATAAGTGCATTTGGCAAGAGATCGGGTGAAGGGGTGAGAGGGAGAGGGTGGAGAGAAAACAGGGTGGGGCGTGGGGTAGGTGCAGAGCCACAAGTTCGCAGTGGGACAGAGACTTACGTTGGCTAGGAGGAGCAGCAGAGTCGGGAAAAGGTCTTCTGTTTGTTGGATTTTTAAGGAGTGCAACTAAATGAGGGAAGAAATGAAGCTACCGGAAGAGGTGAGCAATTGGGGTCAAGGGCCTTAAGGATATGGAAAAGGTGGGCAGAGGGGTTAGTGGCCCGAGGGAAGGAGGTCGCGATGAGGTCAGTACAGAGAGAGGGGCAGGCTCTTCTCCACTGTTGCACATGGTACCGCGGAGGCAGCCAGAGCCCGGCCACCACGGCGGGCTCTGAAACTCCAATCTGGCTCTTTCTGGAGCACCAGGCTGCCAGTACACACTCTACATGAGGTTGAGGAAGGTAAAATAGGAACTCGTCCGCTTTAACAGAATACGGATTTGCACTGCTCTAAAGCAGGGGCTTAAAGAGAGAGAGGGTTTGAATTATCTCCTTAAGAATCCCAGCTGGTGGGCAGTCCAGGGCGTGAGCTCTGGGGATCATCCAGAGACCAGGTTTCTTCTGTCCGGTTGAGCTGCCCTCTGGGGCATGGTTCTCATCTGCAGGGCGAGGCTGGCCCGCCAGCATGGCGTACACTCCAGCCCCGGGGGATGAGCCAGGGGAGGGGCAGCCCACTTCTGCTCACATCCTCACCGCAGGGAGGCTGGGAACACAATTCCTGGGGTGGCCACTCATCTGGCTAAAACGCAGGAAAGTCCAGCATTGAAAAGCAGAAGAGGGGGCAAACAGGAGCGGACAATTAGCCATTTCTGCCATGGGCTTCAGACCTAAGCATGTATGCTGTGAATTCCAACTCTATACCCAGGCACGTGGGTTCACCTCCCTGGCTTCATTCTTCTATAAAATGGAACTGGGGGCTGTGGGGACCCCCATGTGCACGGGGCAAGGTGACAAGTGAGCAGCAGTCATGGGAGCACCTGGCAGAGGCCCAGAACATGGGGCACACAGTATCTTCTATTTCCAACCTTCCCTGTTTCCGTCCTAGGGAAACCGATGTACCTGCACATTGGGGAGGAGATAGACGGCGTGGACATGCGGGCCGAGGTCGGGCTCCTGAGCCGGAACATCGTGGTGATGGGGCAGATGGAGGACAGTTGCTACCCCTACAGCAAACACATCTGCAACTTCTTTGACTTTGACACCTTTGGGGGCCACATCAAGGTATGGGTCTGCTTGGCTCTGGCTGTCACCCCAACCAGGAGAATTCCCAAGATCCCAGCTATGGGCAGGAGTCCTGGTAGGGAAGGGGATGGGGGAACAGGAGGTAGGATCCAGGGAACAGTCTTCTGGAAGTTAGAGAAGTCTTATGTATTATCCACTGACATGCAGTCCCACCTGCCAATACTTGGGAACCACAGAGATGCTGGAGCCAACTTGGGAATGGCTCTGTGCTCCCAGCCACTTGGTGCATGTCGCACGGTGCTCCCCGCTTCATCATCACCTGCATTCTCTGTCTTCATTATTTATCCCTGATCACTTCCTCAGAGAACTAGCATTTAACTCACAGAAAGTCATGCTTACAATAGATCCACTAAAATACAAATAAAAAAATAAGCCCGGGAAGAATTAGAAGTTGTAGCATTAAAGTTCCCCATGAGTTTCTGGTAGAGTCAAGGTAAAGAGGTGAGGTACTGAGCTGCAGGATTCTCACTGCTAATAAAGAAAAGTGACACTAGATCATTGGAGCTTGCGTTTTCCTGATATTAAGCTCAAGTAGGAATTTCATTTGTATCTTCGTGCAAAGTGCCTTTACCTGGCATAATGAATAATATAAGACACCCCAAAATTCTTCGTGTGGTCATTGGTTTCAGTGACATAAATCAAAGCTGATAGCATAATATTATCTTGAGGTTTTATGCAAAGTGCCTTTACCTGGCATAATGAATAACATAAGACACCCCAAAATTCTTCATGTGGTCATTGGTTTCAGTGACATAAATCAAAGCTGATAGCATAATATTATCTTGAGGTTTTGTGAAGACGGTTCTCTTGAAGCTAACATCATGTGCTTTTAGGATAAGCTTTCTTGGTAATCCACCTGGAGAGACTGACGGAGTGAGCCTTACAGAGCTCACAGTGGGGGCCCTACTGGCATTTTAGCTGAGATAATTCCTTGTCGTGCAGGCCCATATTGTAGGATTCCAGGCATCCCTGGCCCCTGCTCATTAGATGCTAGCAGTGCTCCTCAGTCACTGTCACCACCAAAAACACTTCTATGTATTTCCAGTTGTTTTCCTGGGGAGGGGGTGAGGGCTGGGGTGGTGGTACTGTCTTCCATTGAGAAACTCAGTGAGACTAAAGCAGAAATAGCACAAGACTAAACGACACAAGCGGCTGCAGCCCCCTTTGCAATCCTGAGGGTGATCCCTGGGTAATCAGGGTACTCTTTCCCCCTGAGCCAGACTAGGCTTCAGAACCATTCTCAACACAGCACTCCAGGTGGCGTTCCTGGTGACACCTATTTTTGGAAGGAATCATTAGCATGTCAAAATCATCCCTCTCCAATAGAAGTCAGCTGAGCCCAACTTTTGACAGTAATCCTTTTCAGACTGTGCTTTCATGGTGTGCCCCTTCAGGGCAGGCATTCTGTGTGCTCAAGTGGTTCCCTCGGGTGTGCTGGGAGTGGGTCAGGTGTACTGAGAAGTGAGTGGGTAGAGCCCCCATCACTCACCCAGGCTGCCCAAGCATGAATCCTGAAGATTTCCGAGTCAGTGTCCCCTTCCCACCACCAAGAGAAGGTCTCAGATAGTGGATGATGGCATGGGTCCCATCGTCCCCCTGGTCCTCCGTAGCATGGATTGCCAGCACCCCTAGGGCATGCTTTTTGCCAGCCCCTCCCCAGCTTGTCTCAGGGTTATCCCTTCCTCATAACACTCAGTGGCTTAGGAGGCAGGAAAGGGGGGTCAAAGCAAGCTGCAGCTGTTGCACAGACCTCCTGAACTCCATTACCTGGCAATGCCACTCTGTCATTAGTAGCACCTTGCCTGTCTCCCTCGGTGTGAGGAGGGCCAGGCATCCCAGCATGTATGCAGAGAATGTCTTTGATTTACTGAGTGCCCGGGCGGGACTGACAAAGCCCTTTGTGGACAATGCCTGCATTCTCAGAATGTGGGCACCAGCCAGGGAGGTCAGGAAGCGCCCCCTGGGCTCCTTCTGACTCTCGGCTCTCCTCTCCCAGTTTGCACTGGGGTTTAAGGCAGCCCACCTGGAGGGCGTGGAGCTGAAGTACATGGGGCAGCAGCTGGTGGGTCAGTACCCAATTCACTTCCATCTGGCCGGCGATGTGGACGAAAAGGGAGGCTACGACCCGCCCACCTACATCAGGGACCTCTCCATCCACCACACGTTCTCTCGCTGTGTCACTGTCCATGGCTCCAATGGACTATTGGTAAGTGCCGCCTTCCTTGGGCAGGTATAGGGATGGGCCCAGGGATGGCTGGCACTGGGAAGGTGTTTGGATCTAGACAGTTCGAGGCCATTGGGGGTTGAACCAGTCTTAGCTCAGGCTTTAGAAAGAAATTAATGAAGAGCAGGTAATCAACCAAACAGGAAGGAGAAAATAGGGGTGTGTCTTCACTAAAGGCACTAAGCTACAGAAATGGGCAAGTAATTAGTTTGCATTGGTTGCTGGGAGTCCAGTTCCTGCCATTCCTCATTGGAATAATGTGAAATCCGGGGATCGTTTTGTGGCCACGCAGCATGATGGGTCTACTAACAGCAGACAAGAGGAATCATGCCAAGACTCTGGGCTGTGGCATCTGCTTGACAGATTTGAGGCAGTGGCAGCAATAAAAACTTTTCTTCTGTTGAACCAAGTGTTCCTTCAAGCGAGTTCTGCTGGGAGAAATACCTTCACCAGCAAACTGGCGTATGTGTTGGAGACTTGTCTTGATTTTCACAGATAATTTTTACACGAAATTGACCCTTCTCTAAGTGAATTAAATGTATATCCTCTATAAAGTTTAAAACTGAACATCACAATATAGCACCCTGCAAGCTGAATCCAGCAGCCAGATGTGTTTTGTTTGGTGTACACAGTGTTTAGAGAAACATTTGATGATTTTTTACATTATATTGATCATTTTACACTAAATCGAACTTTAAATGAACTAAACTTATAACTTCCATAAACGTTAAAGCTGGATGTCACCCTGCAAGCTGACTCCAGCAGCCAGATGTGTTTCATTTGGCTTAGATGGTGTTTAAAGAAACATTTGAATTACTTTCCATCATTTAAAAATTAAGAGATTCCACATAAAAATCTGGATTCCTGACTGCTCTGGAAGAGTAGGATGAGTTGGCAGCACTGAACTCGCCTTCCTGCATGGTGACAGTGGACGGAGCAGAGTCGCGGCTGCCCCTGCGTGGCTGGTGCG